GATAACTCAGCAAATAGCTATCTTTTCTACTAGCAATTTGGCCCCTGACATCACAAGGTATGTTTTTTCCTTCATTAAAACATCTACATCCAATGACAATCACCAATTCCTCACCAAGATGCATCTTCAAACTGCAGTATGTTAGCTGCTCGGAACTATATTAACGATATATCTGTAGAGCACTAAGCACGCTTACTATTATTTGAATTCTGGCAGCGCCCAAAGTGCTAGACATTGTCAACACACAGGGAGACCAGAATCTACCTTGACCAATTTCACTTTAACAAAATACCATAATAAATGTGGCAAGATCAAAATATATAATTTTATATACATGATTTACTTTTAAAAATAAAAGGAGCTAAAAGTCACTGCTTCTCAATCACTGTCATTGTAGTTGGCAAGTTTCTTGTACGAACCACTAGCCGCATTTGAATAAATAAAAACAGATTTTTACCTCCATATTCCTCTTTAGCTCACTGAACATTACAACTACAGGTGAAAGAAAAGTCTTATTACACATTTCCAAGTTACTTAGCTTCTTGTAAAAGCAGTTCTTATACTACACATGTTTCTGTATTCAAGAACAGTAGCTTTTGGGTTTCCTTCCTTAGTCGACACACCCTTCAAAATGCTAGAATGGTGATGACTTATAAACTTGCTGCTGTGCATTAGATTACAAATGCCTAATTTATCAATGGCATACAAACCAAGAACATTTACAACTTTAAGCCATTATGCCAGTAAGTATATAAAAACAAAAGGATCACTCAAAACCAGAAATGCACTGGAAGTGGTGTTATCTGTTAAAATGTGCTTTTAATTACATTATGCAAGTACTAACCATGAATTAGAGAGCCATTTAACCACTGAATATAGTAGTTTTGTGGAAAAGAAAGCAGGATCTCATTGCTGATTATTGAAAAAGGTAGAAGCAGGACGGCACCAGCTGAAACTGCAAGAGTGAAGGTACTCAAAAACAGCCTGGAAGTCAAAGAAATGTATCATTGTTACTGCCCATAAAATAACATGTTTCAAACAACAAAGTAGTTAATCTAATTCATGGCGCTAATTGGAAAAATGTATTAATTTACACTACAAAAATGCACTAATTTTGAAAGGTCATATTTACAAAAGTACATGCCTACATATTTATTTTTCAGATATCACATGGTTTACAGAATTATCAAAATTATATAAGGTAAAAATAATTCATTCTTGAAAAAAAGATTAGGATTTTTCTTCTCTAGGGTTGGAATACATTCATGATCCAAGCTCAATTAAATATTTCGACATATACCTTTGGATAATATACCTTTCCTTAAGACTACTCAGGAAAGTGGTGAGATTAGGGGAAGGAGAGATTGAAAGATACCACTTACTGATTCAAAATGAATTAATGCAACTATTAATCACTAATAATGTCAACAGGATCACATCTGAACATGACTATTTAACCATGCAATTGTAGGTTTACTGCATTTCTTTCCATACAAAGTATGGACCCATCATAATTTGATGGGCTAAAGATTATTTTTGTTGGCTAGATAATAGAATGAAGGGAAATCTCAACTAAAAATAAAATAAGCGTTTAAAATTTTGAAGGGAAAAGTATACTGAGCTGAAATACTCCAAGAACAATTTACAATAAATACCATTTTTTAGCTTTTAACAGAATTATGCCCTTTTCAGGAACACGCCGCCAACCAAAAAGTTTATTAAAGTGTAAGTTTGATACTAAAATGGAACTCTATAATAATTTTCTAAACTGCATAACTGAAAATTAAGATATATATTGGACTAAGATGCTTACAAGGAAAGTGTCAATAATGATATTGTTTGACTGTAGAATTATTTTCTCCTACCCCCATCCTCTCACAAAGAGTCCATTTCTACCAACCCTTACTCATTCCCACAGTTATTGTTTACAAATACTTCCACTACAGTGAATTTGACAATTTTTATGAAGAAGGGTTGTAGGATCAAGCCAGTATGTAGTAAGTGCTTAAAAGATGATTAAATAATTTAGGGCCAAAATTTGTTGTACCACAAAGTGGTCCTAAATGGAGGTATAGCCATCCAGAATCCTATAGTGTTAGTTTTCTTTAACCAAAATCCTGATGATTACTATATGTGAAGCAGTATCAACATGTGTGTTTGTGAAGTTAAAGTTTAATTAAAAAGATAAAAAAGCATTCACAGCTGATGAACAAGAGAGTTTAAGATCACTAGAATAGAAGGCAGCTTATATTACATGTATACATACAATGAGCAATTCTTATGGCTTCAAATTTAATGAAAAAAGTTAACATTAAAATTTAACTAGTATAAAAAATATTGTCTTATACACAGTTACTTCTTACCTTATTAATTTTACAAAAACCAATATCACTTGAAGATTCCAAATCTGAAACTGAGGTACTGCAGGTACAAAACAGACAGCCTGGCTAAAAGATGTACATTTTCTCACAGATGCAACCTAGTTAATCTATGTTGCATGGAGAATTGTAGCGGTGTTGGTCCCAGGATATTATAGAGACAAGGTGGGGGAGGTATTATCTTTTACTAAGCCAACTTCGGTTGGTGAGAAACACAAAAATATATACTTCACCCACCTTGTCTATCTAGTTAATCTGTAATTTATAGAAGGAGTTCCTCATAAACCCATAGTGTAACCCCCTGAAAAGTAAGGGGGCTGAAATAGACCACAGTCAACAAGGCAAAATAAAATAGTCTACGCCTAAAGTCTGCAATTAAGTCTTTCCTCTCCCAGAAAGTCCTTTCACTAATTACCCACAATCTCTCAAAACTAAACAACAGAGTTTGAAAGTCTTAGTTATACTTATTTAATATTTCACATTGTTTCTCAGATATGTTTTTCAGTTATACTTAAGTGATTTTTTTGGATTCAAAGCTGGTGTCATCCACTACTGGTAGGGGAAGTGTGGTTTCTAAAAAAATGCAGCAGTATCTTCATACTTTCACTGTGAAATAAGCAACATGTCCCTCTCTCACAGCATGCCTGTACTGCTGCAGAAGTGCCACTGCATAACAAATAGCACTCTACCACCAGCATAAGGGAGCGTGCTGAGCAATTTCAAAACTGTTTCATAATATCTTCAAGCCCACAACAAATTGCAAAAAAACTATTTCAGGTTTGTAAAGAAATAGGGTGGAAGTAAAAAAAATTGTTGGCTGCTCATCAGCAACAAAAGATTTTATCTTTTACAAATGTTTTCTATTTAAGAGGAAGGAAACTAAAGTGACGCTGACACTGTTAATCAATTTAAAGAAAAATTCAATAGCAAGAAATGCTAAATTGCAGGAATACATCCTGAACTCAGCTAAGAACTTAGTTCCTGAAGCCTAACAATGGAAATAAAGCGAAGCCAAACAGCAGAAAGTCACACCTCAGGAACCTTTCCCAAACATGATTTGACTTTTTATTTGGGGCGGGGGAGGGTCTAGTGGCAAAGAGAGCACAGAATCGAGAAGCTAAGACATATGACTCCATACAGTGGCAATCTTCAGAAATAATTGAAGAAATTGATTATAATAAGCCAATAAATCAGAAAAGGGTACAGTGCAAAGTCAAGGGACTCTGTGAACAAGACTTGCTATTTAAGATCTTTTTTGAAAAGTACTTCTTTTAAGGAGATGAACATTTAAATTCATCAATATTATCAAACCCCACAGTGATTACATAGGTGTGTTTTTGTGAGTGCATTTGTGTGCTTGATGTAACGGTCACAAGTGTTACATATTATGTTTTTAAAATACTGAACAAGACAATCCCTTTGATGCTAATTATTCAGTGAAATGTTTAAGTATAAAGCAGATCATATGAAAGTTTAAATGGACAGTAAAATTAATTTATTTTTAGTTGAAGTTTGGTATGATTATTATCCTGATTTGACTTGCAACAGAGGCCTCATGGGATTTCTCCAAACAGCAGAACAAACAACTGAAAAAGCTACATTTAGTTGTCCTTAAGTGGAAGCAATGGTTAAAAGATATTTGGAAGGGAATAATTTGGGTAATTTTTACCATTAATATATATATTCATAATATATATTTTTGGCAGCAACAGAGAAGATTTTGCCTCAAGAAGGAATATTAATAAGTGTTACATGAAAATAGGATAAATGCATAAATAATGTTATGCTTAAATTAAATGTATAAAGCCTTCTCATCCTCAGTCTTGAGTCATTTGTATGAGTGATTTAATCTTAGATCAGACAGGAGGAGTAACTTTGTCTAATGTTTTTGGTCCTTACAGCAGATAGCCCTGGTCTTGACCTGAGCAAAATGCCTTCTGGTACCCAAGTGGGTTAAATTAAATTAAATTAAATTAAATTAAATT